AATAGGGAAGTGGTAAGCGCAGTGATAAGGTTCACTTAAGTTCCTTTATTTTGAAGAGATGAAAGTTCAATTCATTTACTGTTGTTACAAGTCGTAGGTAAGCGGTAGTGGGCATGTGGTGCGCGCATTAGCGTGCGTAGCCCAACTGGTACCTTATTAAGTACCACATCATAATGAAAAGAATTCTTTTCTTGAGGGCTACTCCTTGAGGGCAGAGGTTGTACATGAAGATGCGAAACCTCTCGAATGATATCAGGAACTACTTAAATTCGGCGATGAAGAAGCTCAAAGCAGTGGTGTCCATCACTTGGCGTATTCTCTTGAAAGAATAAATCATGACAGAGGAGTTGCTCATTGTGTTTGCTTCGCAAAAGCGACCCAACGATTCGGCAGACTCACGTGATGAGGCATTCTGAAGATCCGCCCTGCACCCCTAGATGATGATCATTTTGTACGATCAATGGGTACCCTATTGGCGATGACTTTTTCAATGATAGCTAGCTACTAGTGAAAACACATTTTTTCAAGCTCTGCTCCACATAGAAGGCCGGTAAGCTCGGACAACATCATTTTTGAAACGATTTTTGAAAAATATCAGGAGTGGGTGGTTTGAGAATAGCAAAGGCATCTTACCCGGTGTCCATCGCATAGCCAATCCTGTGGAATGCATCGTTGGACCCCTCCATGCCGACATTCCGGTTGATCACCCAAACAGGTGGTGTTTGCTGGAAAGACTGACTTGTGATTATGAATATGAGTCTTTGAGTGTTCCTACATATATGAGCTACAAGAGTGATTGCGCTCTAACGTTAAAGGAAAGCATATTACACTAAATGATAAGAAGAAAAGAATACACGATAATGGCAAGTCCATCTTCTGGACGACCTCCCCCCTATGCATTTGGATGCGTTGGCCCAGTATAAACAGCTACAGGATAGATTGGTTCTCGGGCTTATATGATGCTTCTCCTATTTGGGAGAAACTCACTAGGACTCGGCTTTTTTCTGCTTACGATATTTTAGCATTCCTTTCAATCTCTGATAACGGCTGTTCTTCATTTTAACAGAAACCAAGGACAATTCTTCTAAAACCTATGGGATGTTTGAATAAAATCCGAAGATTCCTGGAAGGAAATTAATGCAAAGAATCCTGCGCATGACGGCTTTTTCAGAGCTGGTTTTCTTCAGAGATAGGATGCGCCTGGTCTCTATGGAAGAGACTAGCTGAAGGCAATTAATTGCCCGTTTCCTCGACAACACGGATTTTCTGTGGTGAAAATGTCCGCTCAGACTTAGATGTGCATGCAAAATTGTTATCTTGCGATGGAAGCGCCGTTCCCTTTCACTGGAAAACTTTGGAAATTGGGTGTGGATGTGGGACGAAAAGCTTAACTGGCGAGCACAAAACCTATATGCAAGTAAAATCATCGAAGAAACTGATCGCCTAGTGAACCTCGTTAAGGTCTGTGCTATTTT